AAAATAATAAGAGAAAATAAGAAAATAATAATAATATGAGTAATTATTAGAAATTATTAGAAATTATAAAAAAAATAATAAGAAAACATAAGAAAAACGAATAAGAGAATAGAACAACATAAAATAAGGGAAATCATTTAAATTAAGCAAAGAAGGAGACTGATCAGGAATTTATATATTGAACTATCGCCATATCGCGATAACCGCAGGGTGGTCTATTCCGCAACTGTTCGTCAGCCGCGCGGCTCAAACCGGCCGGGTCCGGCCTCACCCGCACGGCCCCCCACGGCAGAGGCGGCGGGAGGGGCGGAGAGAGGCGGTGGACAAAGGAGAGGGGGGTGAGAGTGGTGAGGGCCATTCTCATTCTGGCCCCGAGGCTCTGAGTTTATCGTTTGAACCGCACCCCACGTCCCCCCAGATTGGCCGAGCCTAAACACATCGTGTGTGGGGCGGAGGGGGGGGGGTCATTGTGCCGTGTGATAAGGCTGTTATCTTGATGATGTTGACGACGGCGATGATGATGATGACGCTACCTTTTGTTGGGATGTTGAGCACTCGATGGAAGCTGGTAGTTCGAGTGTTGTCGAATTCGTTCGCCACACCGATGGATTGATCCCAGTCGCCCGGCTATTTTACGCGCGGGAGATCCGTGGTGTTGCGTGAGCAAAACCGCACGCGTTGGCTGTGAAGTCCACGCAGTTGCTGAGCTTGAACACTTTAATTACACGCAAAGACAAAGATCCCCTGGAAAGGATTTAATAGACTGTTGGGGCAAGTGCTGTTAGCGATCACCTGTGATGACGGGCACTGTGACAAGCGATGGGATAGTATGACCCCATCCCCACGCCCGACCGCATTTGTCTCCCCAGTGGCGATGTTTACACACCGCGCCAGTACTAGTTTGAGGCTGATTCGACCTAGGGGACGCACAGGACCGATGTTGGCTGTGAGCAGGAACTGAACCCGGTTCGCCGCATCACTGCACCACCGCCCCACACATACAAACACAGCACACGCCTATCACACACTCCCATCACACACACGCGTATCACACACACACATATTCATACAAACTCGCACACATTAAAGCACATACTACAAAGATCCCATACAACTTGAGATGGTTGTTGGGGCATGACCACCGATTTCAGCTGGCACGGAAATACACGACGGCTCTGGCATCTGGCATCTACTGTCTCCCAAGCAGTGCTGATGTTAACGCCACCTTAGCTTGCATGGATCCTACCTCCAGAGATTCTGCCACAACGGAATTCCGCAACCCACAACTGTTGCATTGTGGTGATGTTGGTGGCGTTGTCGATGCATTGTCCACAGACGCGATCAACCAACATTCGTAGGGAATTCTAGATTTGAAGCTTTCGTGACTGCAAGGATTCATACTCTTAGGTTTTTTCGGTAAAGTCACGTAGGTAAAAATAAATAGTAAATAAATAAAAATAATAATAGAAATAAAATGATAAATCACGATCAGGTGGGACCGTCACAGCTAAATGTACTGTATCAAGTACATTTAGATGTGACGGTCCCACCTGATGACGGAGACTTGTGTTGCCTCCGAAACGCCGTGATTTGTTATTTTATTTCTATTATTATTATTTCTATTATTTTTATTTATTTTTATTTATTTTTACCTACTTCGTAGGGAACCCTGTGAATTGGACCGAGTTAATGAAGATGTGTGGTCTGCTTTGAACCTTGGGTGTGCGGGCCATCAATCAGCCCGGCAGAAAAAAAGTTAAAGCAGCCGCTCACTCCGCGCATTGCGATTGTGATTATCGAATCCAACACCAAGGGAACACATACTACGATTAAAACTAAAATTGACGTATTTGTATGTTATTTTTAAATCATTTATATTAAGTTCACTTGCTTGCTTGCGTGCTTGCGTGCTTGCTTACGACCGTGCAAATCTTTCGGTCGTTTTTTTTAACCCACTTCCCGTGATCCAATCGAGCTGACATTTTGCACACAGACTCGTTGTGCGTGACAATTAATTTTCGTGAATTTTTTTCCCAAAATTTTACACTGTTTAGGGAATTTTTAAAAAAAATATTTAATTACTAATTGCTTAATGCTGGCAGACAATAATCTGACCCATAGGTGGCAGCCATCTTAAGCCAGAGGACGAGAGGACTCTAGCCGCCACGCATATAAAGGATTTAGAGTGAAAAACTTTGTTTTTACGGGTCAATTTTTTACCAGGTAAGGCTCACTGAGCTTGGCAGCTCTCTATCAGAAGCGATCTGGCTGTGACAAACGATGGCTCAGCGAGTGGCCTATCATCACGTGGACAATTACAGCAGCCACATTCTCTAGACGCGCGATGTTGATTCTAAATATGCAGGGAAACCCCGGAGGTCCCGGAGTAAAATCGACGGGATCACAGAGAGAGAGAGACACGCAAACTCCAAATATACAGCAGCAGGCGTCGGGGTCGAGATCGAACCCACGACCTCCTGCACACCAGGCGAGGTAGTTAACATCTCCTCGCCACCGTGGCAGCCACAACTATGCCTCCTTGGCTCGCTCGCCGGCCACCGTCTATACGCAGCGTCAGGTAATCGAGAACATCACTCCCTCTAGATTTTAAGTTTTCGTGACTGCAGGGATCCATACTCTTTGGTTCTTTCGGTAAAGTCACGTAGGCATAAAATCAATTAAATCACGACGTTTCGGGCGCAACACTAGCGTCCGTCATCAGGTGGGACAACCGCAGCAAGAAACAATTGCTGTGGTTGTCGCACCTGATGATGGACGCTTGTGTTGCGCCCGAAACGTCGTGATTTAATTTATGTTATACCTACGTGACTTTACCGAAAGAACCAAAGAGTAACATCACTCTCCTTAGCCCTCAACCGGCTCACCAGCCTCGAGCTGAACGCATTCATATCCGTTGCTAATCTCCCCGCCGGGCGAAACAAGAAGCGTTGGTTGACCTTCACGCAGGGTACAGATCACTTTGAGTGTTCTCCAGTGCAGCGCTTCGGCAGTGAGAGGGAAGGGATGAACCTACATCTGTGTGTTACTTTCTGGAGCTCTTCAATCATATCCTGTTGTTTATTTCCATTCGGGCGTTTATATGACCACGCCGTGAGCAAATCTGAGATCACTAACACATCCTTCATTCACGTTTACGCCTTAACTTATTTTAATTTGGAACACAAAATATATATCCTTGGGGAGGCGTGGTGGTGCAGTGGTTAGTGCACTAAGCTCCAAATTATTCTGGACAGCATCAACGCATCTCTTTTCTAGCACGTACTACACCCATCTATCTCCGTCTAACCATCGAAACACCTCCGATTAGCACGGTTGTCTATGTACGGTACGAAAGAAGTTCGATATACATACAATCAGAAGCTACTTGGGCATGAGACGGCTATGCTTGTGGGGGTGACATGACCCATCCACCACAGCCCTCGCCTGCCGAAGCGACTCACTGATGGCACCGCGTCCGGATCTCTTGAAGGCTCTTTGAAGTCCTCGCACGATCCAATAAACGCAGGAGGGATCGTAGGCAAGCCAACCTGAATGTTTCAAGCCGGTCGCAGGTTTTACTGCGAAGGGGGTATTCTACATATCACAGCCACAAAGAATGAGATGTGTGTGTGTGTGTGGTATGTAGAGTAGTGCTCGGCAAGTCTCACGCGGTGGTATGCAGCCGATGCAAAGATAACTCCACTCGACTGATTTGAAGTGAGACTTCCGCTGCCGAACTGCAGCTGGTCATGACGAGGATCGGGTTCACATCGCGCCTATTTTTCTTTGTGCATTACGGGTAACCGCATTGAACAAAAATCGATAATGCAGATTAGCGGCACACTAGAGTCGCGATCCAGAGGTCGCCGGTTCAATTCCATCTCCCGTCGCGGAAAGATGCGACGATGTTGGTGGGTACATCTCTGGAATCGGTGCGATTCGTGACAACAACCAAACAAAGTTCCAGGTTCATGACTTTCCGAAGCGGTAATCGGTTCCGAAAAAAAAAACCAGGGCTACCGATTCACCGTTTTGTCGTTTAACAAGTCGAATCGTGCACACCCCGTACGGGTCACATGCACACTCACCCAAACTCTCCACTGCTGCTCCACTGGTTCGTGGTTAGCTGATGGTGCTCAGTGTTCGTGACACGGAGTTCCCAGGCAGGCGTTTTGTTTTGGTAGGACTGATGGCAAGACCCACACCACCCCCCATCCCACGTAATTTGTTAACAAGCTTCAGGCTCAACAACAGAGTCTCCAACTCGTTCCCAGAAATTACCAAGTCATCGGCTTATACAACAACAATAACATACCGCCACTCGTCACTAAGTGGCGGTGACAGGCCAGGTGCACTTTTAAGATATCACGTGAAGTGTCCCTAAGGCTCGCTGGCAGGGGGTCACGGGACAGACCCAGGTGCCACGGGTTGACTGACTGACTGAGATGACTGGCAGATGCACCAGCCTATACATAGCACGTTTGAACAGGTGAAAGTCATCTCTAGACCTCACCTGGTCATCAAGCAAATTCTTATCTTGTGTTTTGTGTGTGTGTGGTCATTCGTGATCAGGTTGAAACAATCATCTCACTATCGTTGACGACCGGTCCAATCACAGGCGGCTGTCTGCCTGAAATTCAACCCTAGGATGTCACCTGTGCCAGCTCAGCGCTCTGACACCAGAATCAATTTATTTCAACTGGAGGAATCCGATGAGCTCTGAAGCTCTCGTTCACAGATGTCTTGACGACATCTGAGTCACGCACCGAGCCACCTGCAGTCTAACACACTGCGGGTCTCCTCCCACGCGAATAATCAACACAGCTCGTCATTAATTGGGCTCAATTACATCTTAAAGTAAAACGAAACTTACGTAGCAGCAGCAGCAGGAAGGCCCTCTTAAAAAAGAGTCACACGACTCAGTTTGACTTTGCTGGATAAATAAATACGTAAATAATAATAATACTTCGTGTTTTTTTTTATTAAGAAGCACATACACGCATTGAAGCTGCACCAGGCACCTTGAAACCTTTATTATGAAATCATTTATAGACCAAAGAGTAGACACTTAAAGTCAGTTCGCGACTAAACAATCACATTCGTTCATCGATCGCATTGCGATCTCGCACGTCACATTGGCCGGCTCGTCACGTGACCCCCGCGGTGAGCTTCCACGCGCGGACACGAAACGAGTTCTGGGAGGAAGGGCTCAGATTCCTTCAGCCGGGAGGTATTTAGACCCCTAAGGGGGGCGGAATTCATATGCCCCCAATTGGGAGGGGGGGGGGGTTAGTCACCCCAAGTGTGGTGTTGGGGCGAGGTGTGATGTGTGCAAGTTTGGAGCGAGTGGCTCGCTGTTTGGAGTGAGGTCAGGGTGAGGTCAGGGTGAGGTCAGGGTGAGGTCAGGGTGAGGTCAGGGTGAGATCAGGGTCAGGTCAGGGTGAGGTCAGGGTCAGGTCAGGGTGAGATCAGGGTCAGGTCAGGGTGAGGTCAGGGTGAGGTCAGGGTGAGGTCAGGGTGAGGTCAGGGTGAGGTCAGGGTGAGGTCAGGGTCAGGTCAGGGTGAGGTCAGGGTGAGGTCAGGTGAGGTCAGTGTCAGGTCAGGGTGAGGTCAGGGTGAGGTCAGGGTGAGGTCAGGGCGAGGTCAGGGTGAGTGCTAAAAGTGCCTCTTCGTATCTCTTCCCCGCGCTGCCCCAGCGTGGCTCACGCCCCTCCACTCCTCCCTCCCCCGCCGTGCGAGCACCAGCGGTCATCAGCGGGGAGCAATGGGGAGAGAGCAGGGGGAGAGCAGGGAGAGAGCAGGGAGAGAGCAAAGGGAGAGCAGGGAGGGGAACAGGTGCCCCAGTCAGACCCCCACCGCGCCGGCGCATGTGTGGGGAAGTGTTGGTGTGGGGGGGGGGGGGTGGAGGTGGTGGGGGGTGATTGGTGGGGGGCAGTTCACGCGGCCCTGGCACTACCTCGCCTGCCGCCGCACTGGCAGGCCTGTCCCAGCGCCAGCGTCACTCGCTGTGAGAGTCGCACGTTGGCCCCTTCGCCCTGCGCCATGCGCCTGAGCAGCAGCTGCTGCTTGCGGTCCAGCTCGTAGTAGAGCGTGAACTTGTTGACGATCACGGGCACGGGCAGGGCCATCATGAGCACGCCGGAGACGGCGCACAGCGAGCCCACGATCTTGCCCCCCGGCGTGGAGGGCGTCATGTCGCCGTAGCCCACCGTGGTCATGGTGACGACGGCCCACCAGAAGGACTCGGGGATGCTGCGGAACGTGGTGTTGGGCTGGTCGGACTCGGCGAAGTAGACGGCGCTCGCGAAGAGCACCACGCCGATGAGGAGGAAGATGAGCAGCACGAAGATCTCGCGCACGCTCGACGTGAGCGTCTTGGCGAGGATGCGCAGCCCCTTGAAGTATCGCGAGAGCTTGAAGATGCGCAGCACGCGCAGCAGGCGGAACACGCGGAAGACGGCGAGCGACACGGTGTGCTGCCCGTTGACCGAGTCCACGTTGGCCACGTCGATGGCCAGCGTGATGAAGTAGGGCACCACCACCACGATGTCCACCGCGTTCATGGGGACCCTGAAGAAGGCCAGCTTGCTGGGGCACGACACGTAGCGCAGCACGATCTCCAGGCAGAACCACGCCACGCAAACCGTCTCGGTGGTGAACAGCGGCCCGCCCGTGAAAGTCGAAACGTCGCCCGTCGCGGTGCCGTTCCCGCTCGTCCCGTTGCCATCGGTCGCGTTCCCGTCGCTCGCGTTGCCCGCCGCGTCGTTCACCACGTAGCTCTGCCCGAAGCCGTCGGTCTGAAATCCCGGCAGCGTCCCCACGCAGAACACGACGATGGAGATGAAGACGAAGATCAGCGACACGATGGAGACGAGGTGCGCCAGCACGGAGCTGTCGGGGTGCTCCATTAGCTGCCACAGGATGCGCTGCGCGCGCCGCGTGGGCAGCTCTATCACCTTGGGGGGCAGGTAGCCCTCCTCCTCATTGAAGGAGCTCATCGCCTCGTCGCCCAGGTCGTAGAACTCCAGCTCCTTCACGAAGATGTCGAAGGGCACGTGGAGTGGCCGCTTGAGGACGCCGCCGGACTGGTAGAAGTAGAGCACGGACGGGAAGGTGTCCGGGTGGCGGTCGAGGAAGACCTCCTCTCGTCCCGCCGAGTAGTAGCGGTCGCGCCGGGCGGGGTCGCCCAGCAGGGTGCCGGGGTAGCGCGCCAGCGTGGAGCGGTGCGTCTCGAAGCGCAGCCCCGCCACGTTGATGGTCACGCGGTCCGGGGGCTCTTTCTCCTCCTGGGGCTTCCCCGCGGAGGCCTCGCACGCGTCCCGAGCGCTCGCCGCCCGCTGCTCGTCGGCTGGACACGGGATCGCCCAGCTCGACAGCGCCGACGGTGCCGGGGCCGTCTGGATGCACATGGAGTAGAGGGGCAGGTCCCCCGGGGAGGGCAGCTCCGAGGATGGAGACCCGAGACCCACGGGTCCTCTGGAGTCCATGGACCCCAACGCCTCGACCGCTTTGGCGTCCAGGGTGCCCATTTGTGGTGCCCTGCGAATGGGGGGAGGGGGGGAGGTCAGAGGTGAGGTTTTGCCAGGTGGACAATGGGGTTAGAGGGGGAGGTTCGGGAGAGGGGCGAGGTGGTGGAGGTGTTGATATGACATCCTGGAGGAGTTGTTTTGATTTAATTCTCCCTGATCTGGCACCGGCTTGGGTGGGATTTCTCCAGGCTGTGCCTCCCTCCTCTTAGATGGAGGTATTTAAAGAGGCAATGGACAGAGAGACCGGCGAATGTTGCCGTGCGTGGTTGCCCCTCTTCTGATGTGCGGCGAAGCTTCTCCAAGCCGGATTCGAGTGAGGGGTGGGGGGGGAGGTGTTAGTCAGATAACTACCAGAAAATTAACGACGTAAATACAAAATGAAATTACTAAAACTCTTCGACGGGAACACCGTGCAACTATGCGGCGCAGGGGATACGGTGCCCGACACTCGATCCGCATCGTGCATCAGCCTTCCGTAATGCCGCTCGGTGCAAATCGCGCCGTTGTTAAATTCGAGACGAGAAATGTGCGCAAGACGTTCCCGCTACCCTTGGCCAGTGCTATGACTGCAACCGAGGAATATCTGCTGCGCTCACCGCCGGCTCTCATCTGCGTTCCCATCACAACAACTTTTGGGCGCCTCGGTCATCCACGTGCTCTCTCTCTGTGTGTCTCGCCTCTCGCGCTATTATTGTAACAACTAAATAAATAAACGCCAATTACTTAAAAAAAAAATGTTTTATATGCCTTGCACATCCAATGCACTTTCATCCCTGCACCTCTGCCACGTGCTAACTCGGATTAATTCGACATTCGTGAGTTTTAAGTGGTAGCTGGTAAAAAATAATAACAACATTTGCAGCCCTGCCATTGCTTGTTGGCTACACTACTGGCGGCCGGCCCTCGGGGGTATTTGGCCTACTCTTCCATGCTGGCCAGGCGTCTCCAACGAGATGTAGTACCCACATTTTACCCCACCACATGGGGTTATTTATTTATTAACCTGCCAATTGACTGCGGTGGCTGCACCCAGCAGACTCGCGCGCTTACCTGGAGAACGACACCCAGGCGTGCTGACACGTGCGGGGATCTGTTGCAGGTGAGTTCCTCGTGGCAGGCGAGTTCCTAGTGGCAGGTGAGGTTCTTGTGGCAGGTGAGGTCCACGTGGCAGGCGAAGTTCTCGTGGCAGGTGAGTTGTGGCAGGTGAGCTGTGGCAGGTGAGCTGTGGCAGGTGAGTTCCTAGTGGCAGCTGAGCTGTGGCAGGTGAGCTGTGGCAGGTGAGTTCCTAGTGGCAGCTGAGCTGTGGCAGGTGAGTTGTGGCAGGTGAGCTGTGGCAGGTGAGCTGTGGCAGGTGGGCTGTGGCAGGTGAGTTCCTAGTGGCAGCTGAGCGGGTCCACCGCTTTTAAATCACCGAGTACCCGGACGCCGCCCTCGACATTGAGATGGTAATGACGTCACGCGTCTGGACTCACCTGAGGGGGGAGGGGTTGGAGTGGGGGGAGCCGCCGGCAGGGGGGGGGCTCCCACGGCGAACTTCGCGACGCACGCCTGAAGCGTCGCGTACGGACCCCGTCATCTCGGCTCGCAACCCCCGCGGGCTACAGAGCCCCCCCGAGTGCCCGCGACCCCGACTCTGGGTCTCCTAAGCCCCCCCCCCCCCCATCCTGCGCGTGGAACCTCTCGTCGAAGACCTCTCCCGGGGTAGCGGTTCCCGTGAGCGCATGGGGTGAATGAATTATTCATCAAGTCGGCGCGATATGGCGGCGCTACGATATCTATCGCACGATGTCGACGATTATCGCCGATGTTATTGCAATTGTTTCACACACAAATAGCGTAAATCTCATGATTCCTGACTAGAAAAAATATATATTTGCGAAAATACGAAAGACGGTAATGACAGTTCAATTTAAATTGCTGTACAGTCACTACTCTTTGGTTCTTTCACTTTGAAAGAAAATAAATTAAATTAAAATAAATTATTTCTAAGTGACTTTACCGAAAGAACCAAAGGGAGTAATTCCTGCACTCACGGAAGCTCCGAATCAAGTTTCAGCTGTACAGTATTTCCCATTAAACATGCCATGTGCGTGGTTGCATCATAACTTGGACTCCCTACTGTAGCAGTCAGTTTCATTATTTTATTTATTAACTAGCTGACAGTACGTGCGATATGGCTACGTACAGTGCGAAATAAGTTCAACACACAAGCGTCATCGATTATAAAAAATATAAGGCTTATTGCAGACTTATGCTGAGTGAAACTCAATTGTGTTACTCTTAAAGTCAATCATTATTTTGTCCCGAACTTATAGCAAAAGCACAAAAACATTTGTGCAATTATCTGCCAAATATATTGAGAAAACGTCGTGGGAAACTGACATCGCGATAATCGACATAGCGTGAAAACTCGTATCGTGAAAATGTAATATCGTATCGTGAAAACAATGATCGTATGGTGAAAACTCGTATCGTGAAAACTCATCTCGTATCGTGATAACTCATCTCGTATCGTTAACATTTTATATCGTATCGTTAACATTTTAAATCGTATCTTGAAAACAATAATCGTGAAAACTCATATCGTATCGGGAAAACTCATCTTATCGTGAAACCTCAAATCGTGAAAATGTATATCGTGAAAACTTGTTTCGTATCGTAAAAACTCATATTGTATCGTAAAAACTCGTATCGTTCAAATGTTATATCGTATCGTGAAAACAACGATCGTATCGTGTTAATAATCCACATGGCGGGAGACGTGGGAGGCGGGTCCCAGTGAGAGGCGCGTGGCGTGGAGGCGGCCCGCGGGGGCAGTCGCCCTCTGGCGGTAGAGTCGAGGCTGAGTGGATCTGTGTGGGCCTGACGGGATGTGTTAAAGCTCCCTGGCTGCTCAACTGAGGTCAGGCCCAGTGAGCTTCGTCGCTATTTTCCGGAAGCGGTGTGATCGCAAGTGGCAGCTCAACAAAGCGGCGTATCACCGTGTGGACATTCAGAGGAGCCGAATACACCAAACGCGTGGTGATGTTGATTCTAAATGTGGAGGGGAAAAACCCAGAGGACGCGGAGAAAAATCCACGCGACCGCAGGGAGAGAGACACGAAAACTCCTAATATACATCAGCAGGCGTCAGGGTCAGGATCGAACCTACGACCTCCTGCATAACAGGCGAGCGAGTTAACATCTCACAAAGGAGGGAGAGACACGCAAACTCCAAATATACAGCAGGCGTCAGGGTCGAACCTACGACCTCCTGCATAACAGGCGAGCGAGTTAACATATCACCAAGGAGAGAGAGGCTTGCAAAGTCTCAATATACAATCTTGATTTGAAGCTTTCGTGACTGCAGGAATCCATACTCTTTGGTTCTTTCGGTAAAATCACGTAGGTACATAATAAAATAAATATACAGCAGGCGTCAGGGTCAGGATGGAACCCACGACTAGTTAACATCTCACCACGGAGGGAGAGACACCGCAAACTCCAAATATACAGCAGGCGTCAGGGTCAGGATCGAATCCACGACCTCCTGTATACCAGACGAGGTAGCTAACATCTCACCACGGAGACAGAGGCATCGAAAACTCCAAATATACAGCAGGCGTCAGGGTCGAAATCGAACCCACGACCTCCTGTACACCAGGCGAGGGAGTTAACATCTCGCCACCACGGCACCTATATATATTTTCTCACGTGGAGGAACAGATCTGGGAAGAAAGTGACTAGTCAGCGTATCGTTTGTATCGTGCATCATACACAGTCCGAAGATGTGCTACTGTTACTTGCTGACCCGCCCACACTCGGACGTCTGCGAAAAAGATCTTCAGAGTTCATCGGATTCGTCCTCCAGTCTAAAAGAAGATTCTCATCCTGAACTCAGACCCTTATCTAAACGGAAGGCCCTCGCCTACAAACATTTGGCTGTTCACCGGCACTGAGGTCTGACGCTGCTGATGGACACTGGATGTCGAAAGCAGTTCCCAGTTTTGCTTAAACCAGGGGTCGGCAACCTACGGCTCCGGAGCCGCATGCGGCTCTTTACGGGCTGCTTCTTGACGATATGTACGTATGTACAGTATGTACTCAGATGCATTAAACGCTGCTCGTAAGGCACCACCCTAGAGGGACGTGCGTCCGATACGACATCTACGATGGTTTATTGTTGTACTCTTCGCGTGAAGAAATAACGATGGGCGGAAGACATTATTTACATTTGTTCATGACAACCTCCAAAGCGACGCTGAGTGATTATTTGGAGCGCCACGGTGGAGAGATGTTAGCTACCTCGCCTGGTGTACAGGAGGTCGTGGGTTCTATCCAGACCCTGACGCCTGCTGCTGTATATTTGGAGTTTGCGTGTCTCTCTCCCCGTGATCGCGTGGATTTTTCTCCGTGTCCTCCGGTTTTCCCCTCCGCATTAAGAAACACGCGTTTAGAGTATCTGGCTGCTATACATTTCCACGTGATAAGCCACTTCGTTGAGATGCTATTTGTGGCCAGGTCGCTTCTGAAAAATAAAGCCAATTAGCTCAGTGGGCCTTACCTGCTAAAATAAATATGGCTTAGCGTTGTCTTAGTTAATATTTGGTATTTTGTGGCATAAAGAGGAGAGTTTGTCCGTACAACAACAGAGTGTTGCCTGTCCAATCGCTCCGCTGGCTTCCCAGAAGGCAGTGCGATGAGGTTGACACCAGACTACCAGATGGCGCACATCGTCACCACGAGCGGTCGCGCGTTCGTCTCGTTACCTCCTCCCGGTATCACCAGACCCGCGTTCGCAGCGTCCCCAATATCAGGACACGCGCACCGCTAATCGACTCTCCCTGATTGATCGGTGGACGTCAGCGGACAGTGCCGCAAACGCGCCACAACTGGGTTTGACGACGGCCAGCTGAGACCCCGATTCAAATCCACGATCTCAGCGGGACAGACACGCGACGGGATACGCGGTTTGCACTCTCATGCGCGAGCTTTTTACAATCTTCAACTCGTACAGTTCGCGTGTATACAACGTCACGCACAGCTCTGCACGCTGTGCTGTGTATATCTAAATCAGCTCAAGCCTCGCGTAAATCACGCGACGTCCGTGTGGCCACCCCCAATTCGAATCCCTCGCTCCTCGTCCGCTTCCTCCCTCCCGCTGTGAGAAACAGACCCCGCTACGTGCAGCAGCAGCAGCAGCAACAGCTGCAGCAGCAGCGGCAGCAGCAGCTGCAGCTGCAGCAGCGTCCCTGATGCAGCAGCCTCTCCCTCCCCATCCTCATCTCTCCATCGGTTGCCACTTCTCCGTTCCCCCCTATTATTTTCCATTCATTTCCTTCTCAATTCACTTTGACGCTGCTTTCTATTTTCCCCATTGCGCTACATTAGATTGTTTTAATTCTATTTACGTCAGTCAATTTTTTTTGGTCGTTACTTGACTCTGCTTGTGGTGGTGTTTGGTTATAGAACCAATAATAGCCAGCATTTGGTACATCTGGTGTCCGCCCCGTTAAGATATCGCAAAGCTATCACAAATGCGTTGTTTCACAGGCGGATATATATAGTCTGGCAGGAGGGGGCGATGTTGCGATGTGGTTTTACCGAGTTGGGGACAGGGACTCCTCTACTTACGAACGAGTTAGGTTCCAGTGGTCTGTTCGCAAGTTGATTTGTCCAACTTACTCATGTCGATTCCAAACACGGTGTATACGGTGTGTGCACGGGGAATGTCTTTACAAGTTGTATAATCTCCTGTAGATGTCGATGCCACTGGTTCTTCACATGCCACTGGTTCTTGACGTTCTGTAGATGTAGATGCCACTGGTTCTTGACGTTCTGTAGATGTAGATGCCACTGGTTCTTCACGTTCTGTAGATGTCGATGCCACTGGTTCTTCACATGCCACTGGTTCTTGACGTTCTGTAGATGTAGATGCCACTGGTTCTTGACGTTCTGTAGATGTAGATGCCACTGGTTCTTGACGTTCTGTAGATGTAGATGCCACTGGTTCTTCACGTTCTGCAGATGCCACTGGTTCTTCACGTTCTGCAGATGTAGATGCCACTGGTTCTTCGTGTTCTGCAGATGTAGATGCTACTGGTTCTTCATTTTCTGCAGATGAAGATGCCACCACCGCCATCTATTGCGCGGCGGTGAACTTATGACTCTCGGTGCGAGCAGGCAACTGGACAAATGGACAGGGTTTGTTCGTATCTCTGAAAGTTCGTAAGGCGAATGCTCGTAAGTAGAGGAGTTCCTATAATTTGATGGCAATATTTCACACGAATCTGGACCGTGATACGAGGCACACAGTAGCCGGATCGTTATCGTCCACTGTGAACCCCGATCACCTTTGTCTCCCAAAGTGCT